TTGCAGAAAGTCACATCTTGTGCACAACACATGCAGAATGTTACATTTATTTGCTGTTTTCAGAAATTTGTGAAGATTTATCAAAATTAGGTTGCAGAATTTACACGTTTCTGTTAATTTTTTATCTTTTGGCCACGGAAAACAGCGAGGAATGAAATTAGTATGACACACCGTGATATGGCAGAACTTCTGTGAAGACCTACACCACACGCTAAATTGCATCTAAAAATAAGCAATTTCTTGTTGAATCTATGTACAGTTCTTGCGCTTAAGTTTGTCACAGTGAGGTGAAGTGAGGTGAGGTGAGGTGAAATTGAGTTTTATGTCGTGCTTGAGAATTTTCGCTCATATAACGACGTGCATGCGTGTGTATGCGTATGTGCGGCTGCTTGTACTAGCCCAGACGTAAGCTGGTTTTATAGTGCTAGCCCACTGAGATACCATGCCGCAGTGAAGCATGAATACCCCACTCAGACACATTATACTGACTCCGAGTCGACCAGTCCTTGTTGTACCCATTAATGCCGAGCGCCTGGCAGGGACCAACAAGTACCATATTTTAACGGTTTTTGGTATGACGCGGTCGGGGATCGAACCCGCGACCTTCCGCTCTCCGGGCGGACGCTCTAACCAGTTTGTCACGAAGTAAATATGTGTGAAATGATGCATACAGTTGAACCTGGTTGGAAACTGACGAAATCAACGCATATCTTACCCAATATTATTCGATGGATGTAGATATGCACAGTCATGTGGTGGGGCTAGACTAAATTATGCTTAGTCATTCGTGGTCTCCTTGTAAGGACAGGCTGCAATATGAAGGACGTGATGTGCCAGGGTATTGCAACACAGGTGATATTTATTAATGTGAATAGGTTTTAGAAATTACCTGTCGAAGCACAATTTGTGGGGAGGGGAGGGAGGAAGGGGGTATCAATGGGTACACGAAACACCCTGTATATACCATAGGGAATTCCCCTTTAACCACGTCGTACAACCTTAAAACTAGCATTGTATTATACTGAATATGTGTCGTACAACCTCTAAACAAGTACTGTGTAATATTGAATTCGTTTCGTACAACCTTGAAACAAGTACAACCTTGAAAAATCAAGTATTGTATAATTTGAAATTCTGTTGTGAAGTCTTGAAACAAGTTATTTTAAGTATTGTGTAATCCTGAATATGTAAGGTACAACCTTGAAACTAGTATTGTATAATTTGAAATTCTGTTGTACACCCTTGAAACTTGAAGTTATTTTAAGTATTGTGTTAAACAAGTTGAAACTAGTATTTTAAGTTATTTTAAGTATTGTGTAATCCTGAATATATATCGTACAACCTTGAAACTAGTATTGTATAATTTGAAATTCTGTTGTGAAGTCTTGAAACAAGTTATTTTAAGTATTGTGTAATCCTGAATATGTATCGTACAACCTTGAAACTAGTATTGTATAATTTGAAATTCTGTTGTGAAGTCTTGAAACAAGTTATTTTAAGTATTGTGTAATCCTGAATATATATCGTACAACCTTGAAACTAGTATTGTATAATTTGAAATTCTGTTGTGCAGTCTTGAAACAAGTTATTTTAAGCATTGTGTTATCCTGAATATGTGTCGTACAACGTTGAATGAAGTATTGTATAATTCCGAATAAGTGTTTCTGAAATGGGAACATAGTTTTTACAGCGAAGAACGCATACACTATGTCCTTAGTTGTCTCACGTAACTTATACGTACTTTGCAAGTTTATGTTCCTGATCGAATTGCTACTTTGTCTCTTTCTTTCAAACGGCCCCAATTAAACTTTAATACCTCAGAATGTTAGTCGTGACCTGTGTCCCCACATACAATGGATGCTCCACAGCCGACCGCAGCGTGGCGACGGTGTCCTACCGGGCAACTGATAGGGTGGACGGTCAGTGTAGAAACAGCAACGGCCCAGTGCCGTTTTCCCCTCAGCGATGGCGAAACTGTCATGTTTTCCTGCACTTTTGCGAACGAGCATGGCTGTGCCCCGTGTTGAGCAGATGACAACCAGGAGAAATGAGAATGAACTTCTCATATTGACCATCATCTATATGGATTTGAACCTGCAGTATCCGTGAGAAGACCGAACACTCTCACCATTAAGCTACCTCTCCCCCTCGACAATATATGTGTGTGGTTAGATGTGACAGCCAGGCTTGCATTCATCATGTTCTCGTTATGATGAATATTTCCAGCTAAAGGTTTTGCTGGGTAGCACAGTGGTAAAAACGTTCGATCGTCTCGCTTAAAGTCCGGGTTCGATTCCCAATTTGTAAAACGCGTGACGCACATTTCTGTCCCGTTTTGCTAATTTTCTTAATAACTTAATAACCATATGTTAGACAAACTTTGCAAACCCTTATCGGTTTTTCATCAGTCTGGTAAGCTTCTGAGATGTTATCCCTCATGAAATACTATTAAAAGCGCCGTTAAGCACTCATCCTTTTGGTTTTTTTCCGGTGCGAGCTGAACTCATATATATTTAAAGCCAAGCCAGTGCCTTTAACCTTAATTGTGGAGTGTCGCTAATGTATTGTATGGAAAAGTACTCATCTTTTTATTATTTTTTTTTATTTTGTGTAGCCAAGCCAGTGCCTTTAACCTTAACGGCGGAGTCTCGCTAATGTATTCTATGGAAAATACAGAGTCTTGATATCTTGTTCTTCAGAGGCGATGAAGCATAGTCTCTTCTGTCCTTACAACAGGTTCAAGATGGAGCAGTTTTTGTGTAGTCTTTAAACGCATTTGGGCAGAAACGTGAACAAACATGGCGGAACTACAAGTGACGGTGTGGCCATGAGACTTCTAGACTTGACACCGGGCGAGATTATCATGGTGATCTTTCACACTCTAGTTCATGTCGAAAATAAATGAGTATATGAACACCATGGCCCTTTTTCATTAATTGTTTTGTTTAAACGAGTGAGACGTCTTCTAGACCCCGTATCTCATTTTGAGTGACAACCCTCGATAAAAGCGCTTCGAGATATCCGGTTGAAGCAGTTGTTGAAAGGGCAATTGCGCTAATATCTTCTCAAGAATTTTATTGTTTTGGACTCAGAATTATATCGTATAATTAATTTTATGCCGATTTAAACTATACCCCTGCATGATCACGGCGGGGGACACCATGGATTGGTCAAATTGTCCCATATATGGATTCGAACCCGTTTCTGTGTTACAAACAAACACGTAATCGCTGGATCGGTTTGTTGGCTGAATATGTCATTTTAAAGAGATATTGTCCCAAAACACATTGAGCGTTAATATTGATGCTAATCTGTATTGTTTATTGTCAATGGTTTTGAGTTATTCGTATTAATGAAATTACCCGACACTTGAATATTGCCAGAGAAATCGAGTATTTTTGATTTATGAGGTTGGTTTGAGCATCTGCCGGTATTGTTCTCTGCGGTTTACACGGATGAGATAAATCATTTTTTATGACATCATTGACATCTTATACGCGATGTCCACAATAATGTATGTGATATCTGTTTGATAAATATCAACCCCGATTCATGGCTGTCAGTGACGTTTGCAAAATAATGGTAGTTCTCTTCATGACTCAGTCCATGCCATGGGGCTCGCTCCATCCGCGTGTCAGTATATCATTTGTCCACTCCCTCTATCACTCAATAAAAAAGTGATCGTTTTAGGCTGTCACATCATCGGAAAGCATCGTCCTCACTCCCTCATCAACTTACGTCCCTCCTCTCTTCACCATCTGGTCACTCACTCATTCACGTGTAGTCGTAATACTCACTCATTCATTCACAACCCCCCAGGATCCGGGTTAGAATTGGTCTTCGGTAACCCATGCTTGTCGTAAGAGGCGACTAACGGGATCGGGTGGTCAGACTCACTGACTTGGTTGACACATGTCATTGTATCTGAATTGCGTAGGTTGGTGTTCATGCTGTTGATCAGTGGATTGTCTGGTCCACATGTGATTATTTACAGACCGCTGTCATATAGCTGGAATACTGCTGGGTGTGGTGTTATACAACAACCAACCGACTCCCACCCCACCCACCTCCTGCCGCCCTACATTCAGAATCTCTCGTCTACCACCACCTCCAACCATCCTCACCCACTCTCGGCCTTTCGTTCACACCTTCGTGAAACCAAGTGCCTCTTGCCTACCGACTATCTGCCGCTCCCACGTACCCCACTCTGCCTTCTTTCCTCACCCCACCCCGCCCTACGCAATCTCTGTAAACCCGATCATCACTCTGCTCATCGCTACCCCATATCCAGCACAGAATCTCCCCATGCATTCTCCCTCACCCCTGTCACTACTGTGACACGCTCTCACCCCACCCCACATATTCTCCCTCATCCCCACCACGACCCTGCCGCTCTCTCACCCCACTCCACGCATTCTCCCTCACGCCCCCCAGCCACACTCTACCTATCTCTCACCCCACCCCACACATTCTCCCTCACCCCATCACCATTCTGCCCCTCTCTCAATCCACCCCACGCAATCTCCCTCACCCCATCACCACTCTGCCCCTCTATAACCCCACCCCACGCAATGTCCCTCAACCTCATCTCCCCCTCTCTAACTCCACCCCACACATTATCCCTAACCCCTACCACCACTCTGTCCTCTTATACATCCCCACGCATTAACCCCAATCACACTCTGCCCCTCTCTCACCACACCCCTCACTCATTCTCCATCACCCCCACCCCCGCCTCACACATTCATCCCCACGCTGTGTCCCTCCCTCACCCCCCCTCAAATAAATCTACCCCTCATCTTCCCTGCGTCCCACACTATTTTAAGTCTACAGCTGTGTAGGAGTCTATTATAGCCCACAATTGATGATACGCACTCGCTTTAATGAACGTATTCTCCCACATTCTACCAACTGTTCCACCATGTACTTGATGACAAAGCAATTATGCAAAATGAGATTCAAGCTTTAATATCGTGCAACAGTTTGCGACGAGCAGTGACAATATGCGAGCCGTTCACCACGATGAGCCAGAGAGCAGCGAAACACCCGCTCCACACACTACACACCGCTCTACAGTGTTTGGACAGACTCGATTCTTATACACTGGCTCGGTCATAAATTAAAGCGATCGGCCTCTACAGAGGTTGAAACTCAAGCTAGACGAAATTAGATACGGCTTGGAAATCAGGTGGTCTGAATATAAGCAGAAGGAGCATCGCTGATCACGGACACTGGAGCTAACGCTGGGAGGATACAGGTGTGGGTAAAAGCGTGTGCAGTGACAGCATTCTACTGCCGCATACCCCAACACGGCGAAGCGTCTCGGATACACAGCTTAGTGTTAAGGATTTGCTGTTGGTGTATTAATCTTTTCACCTGACACTCGCCGACTGCTGTGTCGCACCTTTATGACTTACCTGTTTTAGACGCTCGCTACCTGTGTTTGTCACCTGTTTCACTGCAGCCGCAGCAAAGGTGTGTAGGGCGTGACTTATGTAGCGGCAGGTTACCCTCACAATACTTCAGAACGTGGTAGCTCTTCATCAGCCATCATCTACCTGTGTTTGTCTTACCTGTGACTCTACCTGTGGACATGATTATAACGCAGCCCTCCCAGCTGTCGCCCGTGTCCCCACTCCCAACAGATTTGTCAAAATGCAGCGACACGGATCTGGGGCTGTATCTCTCTCAAAGGTAATGTTTTCCTCTGCTTTATTGTACATTAAACCATGACATCTGACATGCTAGCGTTAAAGGTTGACCTTACCTTTGTAGTATAGTTAACAAGCTAAAACACATGTGTGTTACTTTACTCTTGCTAGATGGTAGGACTGGTGCGCTAAGGTACCTGTGCGGCTTTATATGTTATGCAGGTACATCGCGTTCAAATTGAGCAAACAATCTTATATTTTACCTTATCATTCACCCGGATAAAGCTGATGATTCATGTCTTATGTGGCCTTCAGTGATAACCTCATACATTATCATAGCTCAGGATTAAATAACGACATGGTGGAAGGCCTCAGTTGCAAATTGGGATTCGAGTGAGTGATTACGATTTCACGTCACTTTGGAAATATTTTTGTAATACCACCGCGGTGTACTAGAAATCGGCTTCATACATTTTAACCATGGTGAGCTCGAACCAGGGTTTTAGGCGTGACGAATGACCGCTTTAACCTGTAGGCTACCCACCGTTCGTCAGAGTTACAACAGGTCCCCACCAACACATGCTGGCGTCCGAGATGACGTAACAGATTGGGTTTGGTTGGGTCTTCGTACCCCCAAGACAGTTGCTCATGATATCGATCACTGGATTGTCTGATCCCGACTACTTTTAGTCACAGTTGGATTACTGTTGTGTGCGGCATTAAACAACAAACAAATATTATAGCAGGTGCTATCATCTAGATGAAATGCACCCGTGAAGAATCGGGTTAGAATTGATCTTCAGTAACCCATGCTTGTCGTAAAGGGCGACTAACGGGATCGGGTGGTCAGGCTCGCTGACTTGGTTGACACATGCCATCGGTTCCCAGTTGTGCAGATCGATGCTCATGCTGTTGATCACTGGATTGTCTGGTCCAGACTCGATTATTTACAGACCGCCGCCATATAGCTGGAATATTGCTGAGTGCGGCGTAAAACTAAACTCACTCACCGTATAACAGTGAAATGTGGATATCAGCGAGAGACCCGTGCGAGGTGATGAATCTAAAATGCACCACTCAAGGCTAAATTGTCTATTGAATTCAGTTTAAAGCAAATAAAACGTCGGTTACTGTTATGTATTGTTTATTTAACATTCTGTGATCTAGGGCAGTGGATAGTACCCCTCAGACATATCTATGACAGTGTAATATAGGCTGCCGTGGTGGTTGAAAGAAAACTGATTCATCCCATCTTAAGAAAACTTCAGCAACAGTTGTGAAAACATGTTTTGTCATGAACTAGAAGGCAGGGATATTGCACTAGCGTACACTTATGTGAACTAGTCCATGCTTCTGCGTTCATTGTACGCGGTGTTTCACGGAGTGTTACTCCCCCTCCCTGAACGGCAACTAGCGTGGTGGACATCTTGCGATGCTGGCCAACCTGTTCTATCATTCTTGCTGTTGGAATCAAATATACAGCTTGATCAAAGAATCGCGTCGACTTTCATGCAGTAATGGCATATATTTTGTACATTCGAATAATTCCTTATCCTTATAGGTTTTTGAACTACATTTATTGAACGAAAATAGTCAGATTTGAATCTTATGTGAGATTTGTGTGTTTCAATGTAAATACGGGCATTGTGTGCTTCAAATTGTTTGTATAGAGGACATTTATGTGTTTCAAATATATAGAGGGACACTTGTGTGCTTAAAATGTATATAGGGACAGTTTTGTCCTTCAATATATAGGGACTGTATGTGCTCCAATACATAGGGCATAGTGGGACGCGTGTGCTTCAATGTTCGTGGGCACAGCTATGTGCTTCCTTGTACACAGTACAACATGTGCTTCAATATATGCACGGATAGTTAGGTGCTTAAAATTGTGCAGAGACTGTTGTGTGCTTCAGTGTACACAAGGTACAGAGGGATCTAGTTTATAATATTTATGTCGTTTCGGTATAAAAAAGACGACACAATGATAGCATTACTACAACTTGTGATAATTAACAAAAGAAAAAACTCAGAAAATAATAATTTCCTTTATCAGAATGAAATACCTACAGGTCTTGCAGTACGATGAATCAGTTGTTGCAATTCTCACCTGTATGAACCTGTGTTAAGCCGACATCCGCCTACTAAAATACCAACGTCGATTTGTTATTAAAATGACATTATTTCTTCCCATAATATATGCGCATTTCTGATAGCCATCTGTTTCACAGTCCTCGACAGTCATTGGCTGCCATTACCATCTGTTGTTCTGCATTACAATACACGACGATATAACGACATCTACCAAAAAACGTTACTTGAACTATTTTCGTATATGCACCACCCACTCAGCGTATACCACGTGATCAGAATGTCCAGTTACGTTGGAAATAAAAAAGAGGATCATTTAATTTATGCAAATTAATGCAACATACGATACCCACTGACGTACTATCAGGGCATCTGTGACCATAATTTGATTAACACGGTGGAGAAATAATAAATAATTAACCCTTGCTGGGTTGTGTTCGGAGCTGTTTCTCGTTTTACAATTTTAAACATCTGTCATTTAATCATATGTGTGGGGGTGGGTTAGTCAATTCATGCCCAAATTTATGTATGGATCCTGCCGTCCATGTATTCAGTCAGTCTATCTAATTGTCAATCTATGCATTCAGTTGATTCATATCTCTGTCTGTTAATACCCATCTGTCCTTCAAATTGTTTGTATCATCCATCTACCCACTCCCTCTTTTCACCCTGACTGCCTTCCTCGCCTGCCTGCCCACCCGCCTTCCTCCGCCCTTCCTCTCTCCCTCCCTCCTTCCCAACCCACATACCTGTAATTACCTACCTACTTCCATACCTGCCCACCTACCTACCCACCTTCAACTACTAGCTTACCTGCTTTCTAACTACTAACTTACCTGCCTACCTACCTACCTGCCTACCTACCTGCCTGCCTTCGTAACTACTAACTTACCTGCTTTCGTAATTACCTACCTACCTTACCTACCTTCCCTTAACTACCTACCTCTACCTGCCCACCTACCTGCCTACCTCCCTACCTGCCTGCCTACCTACCTACCCTTACCTACCTACCTACATACCTACCTTCGTAACTCCCTCCCTCTCTATCTATGCACCTACCACCCCTACCTACCTGCTGCCTTGCCCCCCTACTTGAAGATATGTAGTTTACTGACAACTGAATTACCTTGAGTGCCTGAATATTGAGGTCGGGAATCTCGCCAACTTCAATGAACCTCGCCACAACGTGGGGTTTCAAACACGACAACGTTGCTACAATAAATCTACCAACACTTATCATTTCGCACTGTCAACCATTTGTCATGCACTGAAACTTTACACTCCATATCTTCAGGCAATGATAGCATATATGAGAGCATTACGTTGCTTTGAATTGACTCCAATGTTTCGAGACATCCACACATTCGAGAGACAAATCTTTCATATGATCAGACCTATGAAATTTTCATTGTGTTGTTGTTTTACTTTAAAGGCAGTCAGACATACAGGCATATATGTATTTGATTCTCGACATATGTACAATCTTAAATCTACAATAGATACGACAAAATACTTGTCTATACATTAGTAATGGAATTACGAGGCTATTGTGCATACAAGTATGAATATGCAATGCGTTGATGCATTTCCAGGACTTTGTAAAATATAAACAGGTTTTCGGCTTTAAAAAATTATTAAATTACGAAAAATTATACAGAGTTATTCTAAAATATATAATCAGTTTATGTCAGATGGCTGTTGAATGAGGTTAAAATGGAGACCGTCAAAACGTCCAAAATATTTACATAGCACATTTCTTCCCCCTCCATAGGCCTGTTATTGCACATGGGGCACGGGAAAACATGCTTAACTCACAACCACACACTCACATGTCTCCAGAATGCCATTATCACTGTGTATATACCTACTGATCGATACCACAATCAATATCGTAAAAACACAATCAGATACAAACACCAAATAGTGTGTCAGAGGGATACGAAAATAGCTGAACGCGGAAGTTGAGGAGGGACACCGCACTTGCCGATACTTGTATGTTGTTGAAGGACGTCGATACTTGTATGTTGTTGAAAGGCGTCGATACTTGTATGTTGTTGAAGGACGTCGATACTTGTATGTTGTTGAAGGATGTCGATACTTGTATGTTGTTGAAGGACATCGATACTTGTATGTTGTTGAAGGACGTCGATACTTGTATGTTGTTGAAGGACATCGATACTTGTATGTTGTTGAAGGATGTCAATACTTGTTGGAGGATGCTGTATGTTGTTGAAGGACGTCAATACTTGTATGTTGTTGAAGGATGTCAATACTTGTATGTTGTTGAAGGACGTCGATACTTGTATGTTGTTGAAGGATGTCAATACTTGTATGTTGTTGAAGGACATCGATACTTGTATGTTGTTGAAGGATGTCAATACTTGTATGTTGTTGAAGGACATCGATACTTGTATGTTGTTGAAGGACATCAATACTTGTATGTTGTTGAAGGACATCGATACTTGTATGTTGTTGAAGGACGTCAATACTTGTATGTTGTTGAAGGGTTGTTGAAGGACATCGATACCTGTATGTTGTTGAAGGACGTCGATACTTGTATGTTGTTGAAGGACATCGATACTTGTATGTTGTTGAAGGACATCGATACTTGTATGTTGTTGAAGGGTTGTTGAAGGACATCGATACTTGTATGTTGTTGAAGGACGTCGATACTTGTATGTTGTTGAAGGACGTCGATACTTGTATGTTGTTGAAAGTTGTCGATACTTGTATGTTGTTGAAGGACATCGATACTTGTATGTTGTTGAAGGACATCGATACTTGTATGTTGTTGAAGGACGTCGATACTTGTATGTTGTTGAAGGATGTCAATACTTGTATGTTGTTGAAGGATGTCGATACTTGTATGTTGTTGAAGGACGTCAATACTTGTATGTTGTTGAAAGACATCGATACTTGTATGTTGTTGAAGGATGTTGATACTTGTATGCT